GATGTGCGTGCACAACTGCGCGCCAGCACCAAGAGCTAACGGTGGCCGGTCGCGCGTTAGCACGATAACGAATGCAACTACGCGTGCCCGCGTGGTACTGTAACCGACAGAGTGCATAACAGCGGCTCACTGGATCTGCGCGAGACGGCCTACCAGCAGGCACGTCCAAGCGCATAGGCGGCGCGGTACGGTACCAGCGACAGCGCACGACGGCCTCCATCGCGCGTGTGCAGCCGCAGACCGCCGACAGCGATTGACGCGAGCTGCGCAAGATGGCCAGGAGCACGAAAGTGACCAGCTACCGCGATGAAGAGCAAAAGCGGCGTGACGTCGTGCCAGCAACAGCTCATGGCGGCCGCCGTTGTGCGTGCACAACTGCGCACCAACAAGCACGGCCTCCGGGAACTGTGTGAGGCAGCTAGGCAGAGGCCACCACCACCACCGTCTCGTCTCCTCCTGTGCGCTCCGACCCGCCAGCCGAAATCAGCCGGCAGCAGTTGGCCAAGATGAGAGATGCAGGACGAGGGCCAGTGTATGGGCAGAGGGACTCAAGTTCCTCGCCGATCGTGGTGTGGTGCAGAGCCTCAGCACGACGCATGTAGACAGGAACTAGCTGTGTATATTGTCTCTCGTAACATTGTTTTGCTTCTGCTCGCTACCTCTCCTGCAGCATCGTCGTCACCGTCGTGGGCGTGCCTGAGGTGCTTTTTTGGCACGGCCCTCATCGAGGTCCCGCGCATCGGGCGGCGCTGAGCGATGGTTGAGTCAAGCGCGCTCATGGGAGCGAGCCTGTTCCAGTGCGCGATGATCATGATGTATTTGTATATCATAGGTTACTATCACGTGTACTCAGCAAATTACAGCTCTGGAAGGTATACAGTTATTTACTCGTGGATATGGGCGTCAAGCGCCCATTGCCGATTCCTCTGCATAGTGCCATTCAGGACAATCATAGCACCCAGAATAAATATGATCTTGAACTGCAGACAGCAGTTGTTGCATGCATACCAGTACAAATATGTATAGTTATAGTTGCAAAGGTAGGTAGTCATATACATGGTCGTGGTACAGGTACGCGCAGCTGCGAAATGTCCAAGGCTCGGGTGCAGTAGGCCAGATGCAGTAGATGGCAGGAAGGCGCCCAAGAACAGGTTGACTTTCCAGCAGCATTGCTGGAGAGCAATAGTTCTGTAAGTATTAACATACACAAAGGGTTATTACATGGTCCTCTGCCTAAACATTGATGGACAAAATAAGAAACTGCAGCAAGGTGGTACAAGTACAGATGGGCATGTCACACTGACTTGAGTAATGCAAAATTAAATCTATGCTCCATATGTCAAGCCTAAGAATTGTCCAGAGCATGTGCCATGAATGCTTTGTCCATGATCACTTGGACAAAGAGGCGTGCTTCCAACATTGGTGAAATTAAGATTCTGCGTGAGCATTACGACCAGCTTGTCTTTGGAGAGGGCCTGAAGACAGGCTGGTCATAATGCTCACACAGAATCTTGATTTCACCATGTTGAAAACACGCCTCTTTGTCCAGGCCAAGGCTCAAGCCCTGTCATACCTTTCCCTGGGCGGTCTGCATCTGCAGCATATCTGTTTGGTCTTGCATACTACATCAGCCAGTTAATCAATTTATACCCTCTAAACAGAGGTCCTTTCTGGGTTAGAGGATGCCTTATGGCATGCACAACTTGGAAATAAAAAAAGGTAATGAAGCTGGATGATAAATAACACAGGAACATTAACACTGATATACCCGATTATGCACAGTGGCACAATCGGGCATGAGCTCTTTGCATGCTTGAGACATTTAATCTACATTGGATAGGTACAGTACTTATATCCGATTGCGCACAGTGGCACAATCGGGCATGAGCTCTTTGCATGCTTGAGACATCTAATCTACATTGGGTAGGTACAGTACTTATACCTGATTGTGCACAGTGGCACAGTCGGGCATGAACTGTTTGCACACAACTGCACAATCAGGTGTTGATCTAGCTGTTTCAGCAGAACAAACTTGGTGGAGATAATGTAGTGTGTTTATATACACCTATAAATGACAGTAGAGTAACTCCGCTTAGCTGCATACAAGCTGTTGTTGACCAGTAAAGCTTGCTGAACAAGTTGCAAGTGGATGGATCTTTTACAAGCAACTGCCAAGCAGCTACAAAGTATAGCAAACTTGGTGGAGGTGATGAGAAGCATTTATATACACCTTTAAATGATCATAGAATAGCTCCGCTTATCTGTATACTAGCTACAGTATATCAGCAAGCTTGGTATAATCGAGTAATACACAGATCTCTGGCAAGCTGCTGTTATATTGGCTACAATGTATAACTAACTAGATGGAGGTAGTCTGGAGCATTTGTATGGACTCATATATGATAATAGAATAGCTCTGCTTAGTTATATATAAGCTGTAATTGATTAGCAAGCTTGCTATGGTTAAGTTACAAGCAGATTTCTACAAAGCTGCTGTTAAATGG